CCTTTTTTTTTTTCCTGTGTGTTTTGTTTTTCCCAGAGCTCATGTATTCGGCGATCTGGTCCAGCCGCTTCCTCTTTGTGTGTGTGTCGTTTGTGTTCCTTGGCTGTGGGAACACAGTGCTCTCTCCCACCCCTCCCTGGCCTGTGGTGCCTTAGGGCCAGCTCTGGAAGGTGCTGAGCACCCCTAATTAGTAGGGGCAAGTATGCAGAGAGCCTTGTGGAATGGGACCTGGAGTCAGTGAAGCAGCGTACTCAACGAAGTGTGGAAAAAGAGCCCGAAAGCTGAGGCTTAGCCAGGTGACCTTCAGCCAAACATCTGTGCTGATGGAAAAACCTACCAATAGCTGCTTAATCCCAGGAGGCCCCTGCTGTCACAACCCAGTTGTGTTTGAATAAAACCCAGCTCCACCTGCTGCTTGCTTGGAGGTTAGGCTGACCTTTAGTCCTCCCCAGCTCCAGTTAGATTTTTCCTTTTTTTTTTTTTTCTGTTAAGACTTTTCTTTCTCTCTGGTCACCCTCTCAACATGGCCTGCCTTTTTTTCTGTGAGGATTGTCTGGGCCTCAGTTGATCCTTGAGTTGCAGAAGTAAATCTCAAATGGATTACTGGGCTGAACTACAGAAGAATTCTGCCTTGCTGTGCAGGTGCTAATTAGAATAGCCAAAAGCAGCAACCTCCAAATAGCAACGGAGAGTTTCTTTTCTTCAAATAGTCTCACCAGTGTCTTGTGCTGTGCTGTGAGAGCTGAGGGTAAAACTCCCTGTCCTGTAGCACCTTGGCAGTGCGTTTGACTATGGCTTGATCATCGTTTTGTGGGTTTTATTTTTAATTTTTATTTATGAAGTGTTGGGTGGTTATGGCCGTTCTCACATCTCTTTTGCTGCTTTCTCCTTGCAGTTTTTATGGGACGGGGCTTATTGCTGGCCACGGCTTCACCAGCCCCGAGCGAACCCCGGGTGTTTTTGTTCTCTTTGACGACGATCGCTTTGGATTCATCTGGCTGGAGCTGAAGTCCTTCAGCCTCTACAGCCGGATCAAGGTCTCCTTCCAGAACGCCGAAGCGCCTTCCCGGGAGGCTTTTGATGAAATGCTGAAGAACATTCAGTCGCTGGCTACTTGATGGGTGATGTGTGATGGACAGGGCTAGGGGTTGCAAAGGCTGCTGCGCTCCCCAGCCAGGGCTGGGGTGGGGGATGCCTTGCTCTCGGTACCTCTGAATAAAAGCATGCACTTTTAATAAAGCCTTTTTACCCCAAATGTACACATCCCAGTTAAAATATCCGTGACTGCCCTTTCCTCCCTGCCACTCCACACTGCTCCCTAGCAGTCCTTGTTACCCAGTCTGTAACATAGCTTTGTAGAGCTGAAGGGATCCTGCAGAGGAGGAAACAGACCTTTCTTATGGCAAAAAGAATGTATTGGAACGAAACGGTTGGACTCGATGATCTTAAAGGTCTTTTCCAACCTAAACAATTCTTTGAGAAACAGGTCAGAGCTGGATCAGAAGGACATCTCGTTGACTGGTTGGACACAAACCCTCTGCTCTGACCATTAGTGGTCTCCCGTGGAAAGAGCCTGTCTTCAGGGAAGGGACTCGTTTAAGCCTTTGCTGCGCTCCAGGCTGATCTGTCCTCCTGGGAGACTTGCTTGGCCCTCCTGAAAACCAGTATGGTCCCCCACTGCAGACTGGCTGGCTGCTGAGTGATGAATTGTGTCAGCAGTGTCAGAGCACGTCCTCCTCTCCAGAAACCTTTCTGCGGGGGCAGCGTTGTCCAGAGAGGCTTAGTCACTGGAGCGGGTGCTTTCCTTTTGAGAAATTCCCTCAGCTGGGCAGCCAGGGGAGGACTCCCACCGTAAATGACAGTGTGTGTAGCGTTGCCCTGGTTTCTGGAGCTTGATGGATGGGCTGTCCCTGGGGCTGCAGGTCTGGGTGTCTCCCTGAGCGTAGAGCAGATGATTCTTTTTTTTTTTTTTCTTACAGGAGCCAGGTATGAAACTTGAAATGAGTGTAAACCGGTGCGTTCAAATTGGTTTTGGTACCTGAAAGGTTCACCTCAGGTCTTTTAAAGTGGGTCTGAAAATGTAAAGGAAGGACAAAAAAGAAAACTGAATGTGGAACCAGCCCGTCTGCAGCCTGCTGACTCCTGGCTGTGATGGGCAGCAGAAGGTGCCGCGTGTCGCTGGGACTGAGGTGACCCCAGTTACGAATCGTCCCTGTATCAGGTTGCCCTGCGCAGCCTTGAAGGAGCGGCGAGGGATTCTCCTAATATTGCTGTGGCTTGTTCTGGCGCCTTTTACGGTTGGTGCTGACAGGTGGGTGCTGCTGCTCCGCTCGCAGGACCCTTCTGTTCCCTTTCTGGTCGCATTTGTTTCGTCCCAGACGATCGCTGCTTTCCGCAGGAAGCTCCTGGGCTTCCTTTGTTTCCCTGTTACTCTGCATTCTGTGTGGCAGATCGGAGCTCCGCTGGGAAGCGTGGGCTGCAGGTGAGGGAGCCAGATTCCCCAGAGACTGTCCTATGTGGGAAAGTCCTAATCTACAGACTGAAGAGTTGGGCTATAAACCATCAACGTTGGCATCAGCGCGTGTTATTAACTCTGTGTGGGAAGAGATGACGGGGAGAGATGATGGGGATCCTTGTGTGGAGAGAAAAGAGCCGTTTGTGAGGAAGCTCTTGGTTCCAAGCAGAATGCATCCTCTGTGGCAGTTGCTCTCTGGCTGTGATGATAAGCTCCAGGTTTCTTCTCTTCCCGCTACCAGCCGGAGCAGCATCTAACAAAACTCTGCCTTTCCATCTGCTGCCGGCTTTGGTTGGTCAACGCGTCCGTGCACGCGGTGTGTCGAGAGGATTCGGGCCCCTTCTGGGGAGACGTTTCAGTCGCTGCCTAGTTTCGCTGCCTGCGAGCAGCTTTTTTTTTTTTCCTCCCTCTCACAAGGGCTTTTTGCCATTTCTGGCTCTTGAGCGTTCCCTCAAGCTGCGTGAGAACCAAGTCTCCAGCAGAGGCTTTGAGCAGAAGGTCACGTCGCTCACAGATTAATTCCTGCCTCTTTGGATATAGTTTTACGGATCTCTGGGAATCCGAAGGTGATTTGGGGCAGTTTTTTCTTTGTTTCGCAGTGCTTTGTCAGTAGTGGAGACGCTGCCTCGGTGTTAGAGGTGAGGATCTGAAGTGCTGTCACCGTTCTAGGGAGCGAGCTGTAAAAAAAAAGTAGGTTGTTTCCGAGCAGCCTGGTAGAGGTGTTCCTGTCGGCATCAGCGGAGGGAAGAGTTGGCTCGGATCTCACCCCGTCACGCAGGGCTGGGAGGAAGGAAGGGTGGCAGTTCTCTGAGCCTTGGGGTGTGGGCAGAGAGGCGAGGCTGAAGCTAAAATTGGGGATCTGGGCCTTTTGCCGCAGCTGCCGAGCTGTGGGCAGGAGGGCGCAGCTTAATCTCGCGGAGGTTTTCGGCGTGACGGTGCAGATTTCTGGGATGCCTAAAGGCAGTTACGAGTCTGGTCGGCGCCTGGGTGGCCAGTTGATCTTGGAGCTTGCTGTTAGGCCGGTGCAGCCGGTGTGTTGGCTGCTTTGCGTTCCCCCTAACGGCCTAAAGGGATGAGAGAGGTGTCCCCTTGGGCGGGTGTTTCAATCGCTTGTCCCTAAAACCAGCTCTGCTTTGGCTGCAAAGGAATCCGTAGCTCTGTTTGTGGATTCCTCCTTCCTTCAATATCCCCGCCCACTGGAAAAATATAAAAACCTTGAAGTTTTTACCTAAATGCCCTGCTAGGTTTTGCTTTTTGTTTTTAAAGTCGGATTGAAAAGCCAGACTGTATTGAATGCGCTACAAGCACTTGGCCTGAGACCCGAGTTGCTGTCTCCGAAGGACAGACGCTGTAACTGGTCTCCTCCCAGTAACCTGCTGCGCTGGGTTGGCCGAGTGTGTAAAGGCTGTGTAGTTGATGAAATGCTTTGAGTCGTCGTTACCTGCCGCTTAAATTCCCCCTGGTATCGGGAATCTGCTGGGGAGTGCACACCCCTTGGTGGCGGCTGGCGGGAGCGCTTTGCTGGGTGCTGAAGACACGTCAGCTTTGTCGCTGGGGTGAGGACCTGCCGGCCGGCCGTTGGCACAGGCTGCCCCTCTGCCGTTCCCCAGGCTGCGACGGTTCTTCTGCTCGTAGCTTGTCCCTTCCCAACCTTTTCGGCGGCGGCGTTAGGGATCTCCCTTCGGAAGGCGAGACCTGCTGGGCTGGCTGGAGAGAAGGGCTTGGCAGAGGCTTGATGCCCTGCAGGAACTTTTCACAGCGCAGCTTTGCCCCTGTAGGAGCATCGTTTTATTTATAGCGTACCTGATTGGCCTCAAAATGTCAGGAGGCGCTAGCCCTGATGAAAGGCAACGCGGCTGATAACGCCGTGGCTTTATTCTGTCTGGAGCAAAGGCGATGAAAATAGCAAATTTTGTATTAATACTTCTCCTCTGCCTTCTCTTCTCACCTTCTGCTCCTCAGAGCTTGGCAGGCTTTTGCGGCATTTCGGAAGAAAACTCGCTCTGGTTTGGCTTAGGGTGAAGAAAGCTGTCACGAGGGTGAATTTGGAGAGTCTGGCATAAATCCCCTGGGTGCTCCAGTGCCTTTGCTGGTTCCTTTGTGCGCGGCTACACCGGTGCTTTCAGGGAAGAGCAGGATGAGACCGTGAGGGGTTACAACCCGCAGCTCTCAAAGCTGGGGGAGAGGGGGACCGAAGAGGGGCGCAGCCAGATGTGGCGACAGGCAGTTTGGATCCGAGCGTCGCTCGTGGCCGAGGGGGGTGCGTCAGCGGCCCCGGTGCTGCGCTACCCGCGGGAACCAGCGCCGCCAGCGCGGTATTTTGCTGTACTGGTTTGGTTTGGTACGTGAACCACCCCCCCTGCCCAGCGTGTCTCCGTGCATATCCCGCTTCTTTCCCAAACCCTCGTTGTCCAGCTTGTAGGGATATTTCTGTGAGCTGTTGACAGGGATAACGTGTGGTGGTGCCTTGCAGATGGTGATAAATTCCTGGTGCTGACGTGTCCTCGTCCTGTTCGCTCTGTGGAAAATCTTGGGGACAACTGGCTTTATTTCTTGATCCCAGATGGGTTGGAAAGTACTGGGGGAAGATGGAAAGCGACTTGTCAGGGGTAGGAATACTCTCTCGGCAGAAGCCTTTTGGAATAAACAAAGCGCTTGCAATGAGGTTGCGGAGCAGCGTTGCCCCGGTAGCCCCAGCAAGACCTAGGGCTTCATTCTAGCTCAGGAGCAATAAGCAAGTGGCTGGCTGACGTGCTCGGGCTGTCTCGTGCTCCTAGATCCTGCTTTCTGCCTTGTCAAAACACATGGGATTGGCCAGCTGGAAAAACAGAAGCATCCAAGATCCTCATCCAGCCGGTTTGTTTGCCTTGGGCCTGATTTCCTAGCTATAAATACGCTGTGATCAGGCGTTGCGGTTGTAGGAGACATGCTACGGTCCACGTGGACTTGTCAGGCTTCTCTTTTTTTTTTGATGGAGGAGGAGGAGAAAGGGCAGACTGACTTGTAACTTTGGCCAACAGCTTCCCTCTGGAGTAACCAGTTGCAGTACTGCCACGGCCGCTCTGGAATGGGACAGCAGAGGTGGGATGGCAATTAGTTGGGAAACTTGTGGTGGGGAGAGAGCAAATTCGTGGGCAAGCGTGCTTGGAGGTGTAAGCTACCAGGGAAATAAAAACAAAATGCAGCTGGCTCGATGTTTACTTTACAAGGATGACTTTTCATTGCTTTTCATGAATTTAAAACGAGTGGAACTTAACGGGAGTGTCGGGTGTTGCGTGGAAACGGGTTGTATAATCTCGACTTGCTAGTTTAGGAAATGATAATATATTAACTCTGTCTTGTAGCTGGTTGCTCACGTGGCCAATAATCTTGTGTTCAGCTGCCAAAGGATTGTGTGCTGACCAGCCAGCCAGCACAACTTCCCAGTTGGGCAGTGGAATGCTGGAGAGGTGTGGTCAGGCGGTGCAGTGGAAGAGAAATGACCGGACTGTGAGCGCCACTGAGGTTTTTTTTTGGTGTGTGTGTGTGCGCTAAATGAAAATGTACGATCCTGGGCTTTGTTTGGACTGCAGTCTTTTTAATTTTTGAGGAAAAGAGCACTCGGATTGACTGTGTTCGTTAGCTTAATTAAAGCAATCTGCACTTTTTTTTTTTTTTCCCATTGATTAATACTCCTGCTTCCCCTGAGCAGGTGTGCCCTGCTTCCGTGTGTATTTTGCACTCACCGCTTCAGCGTG